TCCCGCCATCTCTTCCTCTTTACCTCTGGGCTGCAGTCTGGAGTGCTGGTGCTCCCGTTGAAGTGGTTCTGTGCCAGAAAGAAGGGAGAGTTGGCCATGTCCAGGATGGGGTAGTTGACCAACACGACCTTACTGAAGTTGAATTTGTAGGTGAAGCGCTTCCCTTTGGTTTTGTGCAAAATGCGCTTGTTGTAGTAATACCTGCAAAGGAGGAGGAGAAGGAGGAGGAGGAGGAGGAGGAGGAGGAGATATTGAAATAGGGATGATAGAGTGAGGGGGGGATAAAGAATAAAGGAAAAAGGAAGAGGAAAAGGAAAAGAGGAGGGAAGGATTAATATAACGCTCGCATCAAGGTTTTATGTCTCATCGCTAACAGACACGAATAAGTAAACAAGTTCAGCGCTGTAGGACAAGAGCTATGCTGATTTCCCACTGTTTCTTATTCATCTCCTCCTTACTCAAATCAATTCATGCCTGCCTTGATTCAATACAATAAGGTTGTTTAAGAGGGAAATGTTATTCAGCTGTTAGAAATCAAAACGCATTTGAGCCTCAGAGGCCCTTAACCTACAGACAGCAAAACACCGCTTGATCGTGCAGGATCGTATCCATAGAAACAAAATAATGTGATATAATTAAAATAAGTGATAACAAATATAAAATACAAAATGGTGTTTGACTTTGTAAAAAATATGATTTAATTCAGAAAATACAAAATGGGTCAGTTAAGGTGAAAGTCGTTTTCTGAATCTTTGCATGGATGTGCTTACATTTGAATCATCACAAGCACATGTAGCTCTGAGACATGAAATCCAACCCAAGTGATTAGTAAATAGAGTAAATATAATTGTAACGGAGAGGCTGCAACTGTCTTTTTTAACGGCAAAGCACGTTTACTAAGACAACAAGAGGAGTCTCCACGGTAACGACCTCAGGTGTCTCCCGCTGGGCATGTAGCGCCGTCGTCATGCCGTTTCCTGTGCCACCCACAGAGGTGTCAAAACGTACAGTCTGCCAGGAAGCAGGCTTGATCAACAGTAAAGGCAAAACATGGCGCCATCTGGCTCAGGTGAAGGAGCTGAGAGGGGGGAGGAGGGGGGGGACTTCGCAAATTGAAAAACCTGCTGAGACTATGTCCTATCGCGAGGTAGAAGTTGTAATCTCGGACGCCATTTCTTTAGAGTTTCTTAGTTTTGAAGTGACCACCGAATACAGAATGCATTAGGGCAACCTCAGCGTTAAACACTACGGCTCATTATGCAGACGCACGATTTAAACGAACAGTGAGTACCAGCGTCTCCACAGTGCAATGAAGGGTACGTGTTTTGCTTTGCGTGGCAATTGTGCCGTGGCCCTTAATTGAGCAATTAAGTGAGGCTAATTAAGAAGGCTAATTGTGGCCCCAGCCAATTCATAACAATTAGACTCTGACGACAGCCCCCATTAACGAGAGGCCAAAGGAAAGCAGAGGGAAGGGGGGGGGGAATAAGTCGGGGCAGTGTGTGTATTTGCATAAGAATACTGTGTGTGTGGTTGGGGGTGTAAACCGCTGAAGGTATGGAGTGTGAGCGGTATTATTTTAATCATATTCGCCAAGTTTGTAGCCGAGCAGTTCCCCCACGTTCCTCATTCCCGCAGAAGAAGTCCAAGCAATTTCAGACAGCGGCTTAATTTTGAAATCCCTATTGAATTTTTTATTTGGCAGCTCAATGGTGAACTTTCCATTAGGATGTCCACAGATAAGGAGAAATTGAGGGTATTGACGTTCCCCAGGAGACGTCCCACCTTTATCTTTCCATTAAACCGACATGAAAAAGCGAGACGTTAAGTGAGGATTCAGCCAAACAAGAGTAAACAATTTATGTAAACCGGCGTGTGATAAACATCTTGATTTATCCGATTCCAAAAAGTGCTCGACAGTCAACAAACACGTACCTCAGCATCAGGTCTAAAACCACCAGACTAAAGGACAGTTTCATCCCGCAGGCCATAAGACTGTTAAACACCTGAACTTTTGAAAGGACATCCATAACAATCATCTGTTTGCAACTCATATCAATATTCCAATTACTTGTATATAAAATATTCTGCACTATTTCTATTTTATTCTATTTACTTGCACACATGGCAATAAAAGCCTTGAATGTTGAATCTACCTCAGAGCCCTGCTCAGCTTGTCATAGTTCATGTGGGGTTTACACTTCCTGGCCCCCCACAGCCGGGCCACTTCATCGGGATCCTTGATGACGAACTCTCCGTATTCCCCCTGCCAGGCGATTATCCCATTGTACTCCTCCTTCTGCAGCAGCTCCAGGATGAAGTGCCACAGCTGGATCTGTCGGGACCCGGGGCTCGACTCCGGCTTGTAGGCCCAGTCCGGAAAGGCGATCCCTGGACGGAGGGAGCAGGAAAGAGGGGAGGATGAGGTTAGGGCCTGTCATTTGTCCCGCTGTTTGCCACGGGGGATCGCTGTCTGAATGACTGATGAGTGATGGAGGTGAGGGATGATGTGTTTAATATCACAGCACGTGCCTTGAGCAGTGTTAGTCTGCGCTAATGCCCTCTAGCCTCAACAGATTGGTCAGCGGGACGATGACAGCTCGCCGGGAGAGGTCTGATTGATGCTGCCCGGCCCGAATGTATGCACATCATAGACAGACTTAAGCAGCTTTTTGACCGATCCCAAAGTGAATCTGGCAATAACTAGCCTCGTAAAAACATTAGATATACAACCAATTACTACCAGAGAGTGAATTTGTTTACCAGTGTGTGTGTGGGTATGGTTATCTTCTTTTTTTTTTAAATGGCTGAAAGTTTAAGATCAATTTCAACATGTTTTCATGATTATGTTTTATTATAACTGGATTGGCTTTTTTTTGGTTAGCCCCAGTTGAAACACCTGACCTGGGTCTAAATCCAGAGGTATGTTTGAAGGTGTGCATGCAGATGCGTGAGTAAATGGTAAATGGACTGTACTTATATAGCGCTTTATCCAGTCTTTAAGACCCCTCAAAGCGCTTTACATACTACATGTCATTCACCCATTCACACCCATTCATACAGAGCAGTGTACCTTACTCTAGGACCTAACATTCACACACATTCACACACCGTTGGCCATGCCATCGGGAGCAACTCAGGGTTAAGTATCTTGCCCAAGGATACATCGACATGTTGACTGCATGGGCTGGGATCGAACCCACAACCTTCTGGTTGAAAGACGACCACACTCCCTCACAGCCACACTCGCCCTAGTAGTAGATTTATTGAACACAAAAAACACTTCTTAGGTAAACTGAGTGAATGAAAGAATAGTACCCCTTGCACGAGCTTGATGGTGGGACTGACCTGGCGTCCAAAGAGCGGGCACCGGGGGGATCAGCAGGTCACTGACGCAGTTACAGTCCATACCTCCACAACACCTGCAACACAAAGACAAGACAACAAGGGAAAAAGTTAGTATATGATAACTTGTCTTCTGCATCTGAATTGGTGCATCCTGAAAACCCCAGCAGGTTTATCTCAGAGAGTTAAAAAGTTGCAGAATGTAAACTTTGAAAATGGAGGTATTGCATAATGGTCTAAGGGCGCAATATCAGTTCAAAAACATACCTTAAATCGATGTGAAATATGGCAAGGTTATGTTTCATATGTCTTTGGTAGAGATCAGGTGTTTGATGGATGTGATCTTGTATGGCCACCTGAGGCTGCGTCTGATGCAACATGGTGGACATCCCTTTAGTGCATTTACTGTATGAACAGGAATTACTTTTGAAAACCAAGGTAAAGTTGGGCCATATTAAACATTAAAATAAGAGCTTTTAATATATAATATGGCTTGGCTATTCCTTGGTGGGGTTGTTCAAATTAAACTTTACATTAGGTGGAAGATCTTCATGTGTTATGTTTAGGTGCATTACCACAAGGAAGGCTTTGTTTGTAATGGGCATGAGAAACACTTCTCGGTATCACGCACCACGACTACAGCCATTGAGTTGAATCAACACCTATACAAATAATATTATTTTCTTCAAGGTGTCATTTATTTCTGGTTCCTGCATTAGTTTTAAGCTCCTAAAAGATCAGCAACAAAGTGTATAAAGTAGCAGAACATGGAAAAATACCTTTTAACAGTCTCAGTTCATTTCAGCACTGGTAATGAAATAGTAGTTTCTGATTGATACATTTTTAGACGAGTCCAGGTTATATGAAGTGACCACATCAACAAATATACTTTAGTTTGATGTAATACAGGACCAAAATATGCAACAAATAAACAGCTGCCTGAGATAAGGGTGAACAAAAAATGAATCTATTCTTATATTACATTAAACTGAAGCTTTTATCCAAAGTGACTTACAACAAGTGCAATGAACCATGAAGATCAAACAACAAACATCCAGTTACATTCGCTTCAAATGAACCCAACTATTATAAGCGCGAGTGCATTATTTAAAAAATACACAAAAAACATATTTGTAATGTTAATTGAATAGTTTAATACATTTTAGTTTCTATGTCTTCACACCTATGGGAGCACCACAGGTGTGCATCAAAGCGTTGACACAAACTGTTCATCTTAAATCTGTCACAGTGCCTCACGCGAGCTGTGATCCAAACCCATCCCAAACAATAACGTGTGCATTAAATGCCAGCTAATGACGACATTGTCACGGAAATAAATGCATAAAGACGTCTGCTGACAGGAGGACGTGAGGAGGGTTCATTGTTTCCACAGAGAGACGGGATGGAGTTTGGATATCACAGTTTGATCAGGGTTGTTTTACAAAGCTCAGATGGAAGAGATGCCCTGCTGCTCCACTCATATCTTTAATGCTGCCTCTCCATCTCTGCCTCCACTCTCTGCCTCTGTTTAATTATGCTCTGTGAATTTTGGATTTTCCCTCCAGCATCGAAATGGAACGTGAATTATTAAGGTGTGTTTGTATAAATTATTATTGCTAACTCCAGGCACTTCTCTCTCTCTCTCTCTCTCTCTCTCTCTGACCGACTCTCCTTCCATCTTTCTCCCGCTCGCTCTCACCCTGCTATAGCCTTTGGATTGTGGCCCCTCTCCTCCCTCTATTCATCTTTCTTGTTTTCAAGCTTCTGTCTTCAAATATAGAGTTGGCATTCACCCTCATCTCACTCACATATTATTTTTGTTCCCACATCATTCACGTTATCACTTCTTATTATTTTTCGTCTTCTTCCATCAGCCTTGTGTTTTCTGCCTGCGCTCGTTTTCCCATAATGAGTCAAAGTTATCACCAGGGTTCAGATAACAACGGCTTCACAAAAAGCTCCGGGAATATTTCCACCAAACTACACTAACCTGTTAGATCATTTTGTATTCAGCGTACCGGCAGGATATCCAAACACACGTTGGCCTTCACACCATTACAAACGTCTTTCTTTCACAACGTATGTCCTTCTATTAAAACTCGATACAAGCCGTACGCCGGCCCCAGTGGAGAGTGGTACGGGTCTTTAAAAAATAAGATATTCTTTGTGTTCGAGGTAGTAATCTATAAGTTTCCTTTTCCCTGTGGGCTACAGGTCATCAATACTGCATCATATGTTTCATTTGCCATATTCTGGCGGCACACAGCATGTATAAACTGGTCTCCTCCGAGGATCGTGTATACGTGAGCTCCTCTGACAGGGTCTCTGCGGCCCCTCTCGCACCACCTACACACCGCCTACATCTATATCCATTTTCCCTCTCCGACAGCGGAACTACACAGGTGAATCCTCCCTTCCTCTTTCCCACCTCCTTTCTATTCACACACACCTATCCTCCGTCTGCTCCCCCGCCCCACCCATCTCTCCTGCTCTGTGTGTTTTGCTTCGGCGCAGTAATTTTCCGTTTGATTTCGGAGGTAATGCATTTTTTACACAAAATCCAAAGAGGAAGCCCAGGCAGCCCCTCCTCCTCCTCTTCCTCCTACCTCCTCTCCTCCTCCCCCAGTCTCTCGTTTCTCGCCCCCCTCGGGCCCCCCCCAGCCAGAGAGGAGATAAAGGAGCCCCCATCATTTCCTTGTTAGTTTTGATTTGGGCAGCGCAGGGCTTTCAAGTTCCCCCCATCACCCCCAGAAACATTATAACTAGCAGCCCAGGGAATACTGTTCCTGGTGCGCGCACACTCTTACACACACATGCATGCACTGACTGTCAGATACAGACGCTGCTCACAGATTGTAATGGATTGCACGGTAAACACACACCAGATATGCCACAAATACACAGGTAGCTCAGGTAACACACACACACACACACACACACACACACACACACACACACACACACACACACAGTGAGATACAGCACACAGAATAAGACATGGAGCCCATAGATATTGACTGAATCGACATAGACACACCTCTCAGTGAGCTGGAAGAGAGAATGCACTTTGTTTAGTAAAAGATGGGACTGATTGAGACAAAAAAATTGCAACACAGAGCGACAGTGGACACAAACAAAAGGACTCCTCTCGCACAAAAGGCCACGGATAAGAACTCAGTCTGGATGATGGATCACACAGTTACCGGTGACAATAGTGGAAAACACACAAAAGGGGCTTGGAGTTACTGTACAGTCACATGTTGACAAAAGCACCTTCGACGCTCAAAGGAAACCTCAGTGTCGCTCCTCCACATGTTGTGAGTCTCTCTGGTGTGTTGTGTTAGTCAGAGGCTTTTGATCATTCAGGCAGTGGAAAGGATCGGATGTTTTTAGGGACAGTGTTTCCTCTGCTGTCTTTAGGACATCACGAAGACGCAAGGACTCACAGTCAAGGCTGGTCGAGGCTCAAAGGGTATTAGAGGAAGTCAAAAAGAAAGATCCTGATATTTGCTTTGTAATAAGAGAAGCAATTATTAAAAATAACAAGGAACTGGTAATACATTCAGAATGCTAAAACAAAAAAAGGGTATTAAGTGCGATGCTCAACTTCCAATTAGCACAAAAAGACTCAACCTTTTAAACAACCTTTAAAGAGGATTATATCTGGACTTTGTGGGAAATAAGCTGTAAACACAACCTCAACATATTATCACACTAAGGTTGATATTGTGACTTTACTTCTTCCACACTTGAAAAATAGCATTCAGGTTGTGCTTTTTGGCCACATAGTCAATGTAAGTCCAATATTCACTTCCTTTTGGTTCTGTTTCCTTTAAACCAACTCCTGAACAATGCAAATGTGTCCCTTACACTATTTGTATTTATTTTGTCTTAATAACCACCACTTGATTATGCAGTTCTCCTCAGCCAAACGAAGTGTGTTCGTCAAGTGGTCATTTTCTAGTAATTTCATCCTTTCTAAATATCAATATATTGTTAATGGCTGATTCAATCTTGATTTGATAATGTATGTAGTTTGCACTCATTGCCCCTGTTATTATCTGGTCTGATTTCTCTTATCTTTTGCCTGTAAAGCACTTCTTTAGTTTTATTGCACACAATTATTATGAGTTTAAGAGTCATACTGTATAATGTCCTTTATGCTGATTCTAATACACAATATAACACGATGAAAGCCTTATTAGATATGCTCATAATTGGGAGTATAAGGTCTTCTATAACCACGTGGAAAGTCATCACAACTAGTGTCATTACTTTGAGTTAAAACTGGTGTTCTGTGATGTGCCCCTTATTACTGTCCAACAACATCTGAGTGTGTTTCATTAGAGTCCACGAGTTTCAGGTTTGAAGAGAAACATATTTGGAACATCTTCTTCCCGAGCAGGACTGACGGATACACACTGATGCAAGTTTGCAGCCAGGCGGGTAATCTATAGCACCAGCCCGTCAGCAGAAGCGTTGCTGCGGAGGTTAGTAGGCCACTGACGGGAGTGAAAAGGAAACAGTGAAGTACCAACTATGTTTTTGAAATTCTGCAGAGTGACTGGGGTAGAGGGAGGAAAGGGGGGGCACACTGACATGCAGGCAACATTATATCTCCAGTGCTGTCTAAAGAAGGAAAGAGTGATGGGTCACGATATAAAAAGATAGAAAAATATGAGAGGCACGAAGAGTCTGGCCTTTTTCCACAAGATGAAACGGGCTCTGAACATCTGTCTCATCTTCCCTTTTTTTTCGGTTGCCCCTGAAAAAGGCCCAACTGAACCCACTTTCTCTCTCCCTTTCTCTTCACTTGCCTCTCTCCTGCTATCTCTGTCTCTCCCTCTCTCTCTCTGTTCCTCTCCCTGGTTAGCTCTGACACACTGGTCAGCCTCAGGGTGGAAGAACAGAGGGACTCTGCTATGGGTTTGTTAGAGGAGATGGAAAGAAGGAGAGAGGAGAAACGAGGAGGGGAGAGAGGGAGGGGGAGGGTTGGTCAGGAGGAAGACGGAAAAAGAACCTGTCCATCCAAATGTTAAAGAGGAAAGTCAACGCAGATTTGATCACTATATAGTGGCCTAATCGTCTTCTGGTTTAGCTTCATCTATTTTCAAAAATGTTGATGTTTTTTTTTCTTCTATTTTGCCATTCAGACAAATATTTACGGACCTCACAACGTTATACAGAAAGTAATACGCTAGCCATTACCTATCTAGACAAAATCCAGCCGATCATTTGTAGCTATTTTGTTTTTGCACAACTGAATGAGAATGGTTCTCCCATGATATAAGAGAATGAGATATTAGATATTAGATATGTCTGAATGAAAATGTTTGGACTTTTAATACATTATCTTACTCTAAGTTAACCCAAAACTAAA